GTTGTTATCTTTAAAAAAGATAACAGAGACTGTTTTTTGTAGCTACATTCCATATCGCCTTAGTCGTGCTATCGTATTTATGAAGTTTGCAAGAATTTAACAAAAATTAATTGTTGCTAATGGAAAACTTTCCCGATCAAGAATTGGAGGATATGCATTTGGCATCCGGGATACAAAAAGTTTATTGCTATTCATCGGCGGCTCTCCGAGACAGGCATGTGTAAAACCAACATGCATGATACTGGTGTTGCTCGAACCGTAAAAACTGTCAAATTTGAAGAAGAGGTCCTTCAGCGAGTTGCCGACGAAATATCAAGTAGCACACGTCACATTGCTGAGGTTATGAATACAAGTAACGCTTCCGTCTGGCGGCAACAACTTCATACTGACCACTTCCAGAAAGTTCAGGGATTGACTGCAGCCGTTTATCATCCTAGAGTTCAATTTTGTCAATGGTTTCTTCATCAAATCGCTGCACAACCAATTTTTATACGCTATGTTTTATGGACCGATGAAGCCTCTTTCACAAGAGACAGTATTTTTGTTAGTAGGAATAGCCATGTTTGGGACAAAGAAAATCCCCATGCAATTTTTCCTAGAAAACATCAGCAACGTTGGTCTGTCAACGTATGGGCAGGCATTGTTGATGATTACTTGATTGGGCCATACCTTCTACCGGAACAGTTCACAGGACCTATTTACCGGCGTTTCTTCCAGAGCTTCTTGAAAATGTTCAATTGAACGTTCGATAGCAAATGTGGTTTCAGCATATCGGAGCGCCGGCTCACTTTGCTGTACAAGTACCGCCAGACGTGGAGCAGTTTCTTGACCTCCTAGGTCACCCGATTTGACGTCGCTAGATTCTTTCCTGTGGAGACATGTAGATTCTTTGGTTTACGAAACTCCAGTAGAAACAGAGCAAGACTTAATTGGACGAATTACAGCAGCATTCAAAACCAGTAACAAATCATGTGCGACGTTTAAATCGGTGTATTCAGATTGCAGGAAGACATTTTGAACAATTGTTGTGATGATATCATGTACAAAAGGCAAAAATTAAATGCATTAAATCCTATTTAGGCAATTTATCGTCGTTCTAAATTTTAACGCGTCTTAGGGCCGTAGTGATACTTTTCCGGTTATGGGTCCCTTTACTCAAATGTTTTCTACTGTTACACTGAATAACCCCTACAAGTTTGATCCCTTGGTTCTGAAACACCCTGTAGAATAATGTATATGGTGACGTACAGAAACAATTTTGTAATGTATCAGAATTGGATTAGCAGGGTCATATCCGTATAAGTGATGTCTCCTCTCCGGGCCTCTCCTATTCTTTGTTTTTATACCGTTAACCATTAACTTTTTGGCAAATGGATTTCATCTTCCGATCTCATAACTTGAAACACACAGTCGCACATATTTCAATTACGTTAGTTGCTATTAGTAATAATCTTCTACATCTTGAAGATATACCAGGTTTCACCTGATAAGGACAAAAGGGCTTTCTCTTGCATAAAGGAGATTAGTGGAACATTTAGGGACGTGAGAAGAGAAATAAAATCAGACAGTGTCTGTGACTGTCTCTGGATAGTAGCAAGGGCATCGTGATTACATCCTACTGTGACGGATTTACTGGGGAGAGATTTCAGAAAGTAAAATATATGGTTCGCATTTCCGGTTCTTTCGGTTAATAGAAAGAGCATTAAGTTTTATTGACAATCGTTAAATATCAATTTGTATTACAAAGTGCGTTTCAGAATTAGCTGAAATGAGGGTGATAAGAGACATCAAAATAAATTTGAGCTTATAATACCTTAGTAAAGTCCGGAGTGCACTGACACTTTTCCGTCGATTCTTGGATCTTCAGAAAAATCGTACCGTTTGCGCATGCGTGGAATTTCTGGATCACTTAAGCATAACCGAATCTCCTTATGTTGCTTTAGCTGTTTTCCCATCAGTACAGAAACCGTTCTCAGATCAGTTGAGATTTCTCTTCACTGGGACACAGAATGTCCTTGGATAGTTCCGAGTCTCCTCGAATTGCCTCTGCACGGGTATTATGTAAAAAACCTATAAAACGTAAAAAAAAACTATAAAATGTCATCTTGCAGACTAGGTAGTCTTTAGGGTGCAAATAGTCATTCCACGTTTGCTCACTAGGATCGTTGTGAGCGTCCATCTATGGAGGGATGACTCAACTATACTCATTGTTGGTTGCAGAAAGCAAGTATCTGTTTTGCGAAGCCGAGTGGTCTGTAGTTTTCATATCTGGAAGAAAGTAGGTTGAATAGCAAGATCGCATCTGGATGATTATGTTTATTGGTCTGCAAGTGTATAAAATCAGTGATATTTGCTGTGTGAAAAAATCATTACTGAATATGCTGCCAATGAAGTATATCTATTGGCTGTACCCGACGGTTTATTTACATGTTTCCTTTCTGGGACAGGTTATGTTCTAAGTTATAAATTACGATTCTTTGCATTTTTTGTGTACTCATAAACTTACGGGAAATCACCACCACGCCCGGACTATGTGAAATTACTGTGAATATAATTATTTATCTCACTCATTTTTTAAATTCAGCAAATTTGCATATGTAATTTCCAGAATGGATAAGAAAAAGTGGATGCGCAACTAATTTCTAGCTATGAATCTCAAGTAAGTGCATTTGAGACAAGAATGCAATGGAATTATCAACACATATTATTAGGACAAAATCCTCACTATGCACCTGTGCGTTGCCGTTTCCTTCTAGCTATAGTAATAGTAACTTACAGCGTAGACCTGCAGTAATGCCATCTCTGAAGCAGATTTTACATCACATCATATGCAAACATTGATAACGGAAGCACAAAACGAGTTCACAACATGTCCGTCAGCTAGTGCTAAGTTAACATCTCGCAGAAAAACCTAATGTCACACAAAACCAATATGATGTCAAAAAAATCGACATAAGGTCACTTTTCTACCAATCCCATAAAGTGGTGCTTGTATGGTAGAAATTAAAATTTTGACATAAAAATAATTGTAGTCAACAAGGTTGTTGTGTTTTAATCAAAATGTTTAAAACGGGTGTTTTAAACACTGTTTAAAACAATGAAGGTATTTCAAATCAATTTGTTTTAAACTGTTTAAAACATGTCTTAAACACTGTTTTTTGTCGTTTGTGAATTATTCATGTTTTTTCAATATTCTTGATTCTATGATCAAAATTGATCTTAGTTTGCAAAACGAAACTAATAGGACAATAGGTACTAAAAGATATACTTTATTTTTTATTAATTAATCCAACATGAAACTAGGCAGCTAATACTAGTGGAAAAAAATCTGTTTCTTAACGAATGAGTGAACCTAATAAACTGCATTTAACTCTAATACACACAAGAAGCAGCAGATTAATCATATAATATGACTATGTATACTAAGTGACATATAAATCCGAACACCCAGTTTAAATGGTTTTATTTTAATAAAAGTTAGTGAATGTATTTATCTTACTGTAAATAACAAGTGAAAAAATTTTCAGCCTTATCAGTTGGACATTCCGGTTTTTATACAGCTTTTTTTTAATTCACTAACGCTCTAAAAATGAATATTTCAGCTGCAGTAAAGAATCAACTTTGGCGGATTTTGGTTCTTGACATCCTTTACGATCGGTTACGATGCCTAAAGTACGGAGACCTGTACGATGTCGTCAACTTAGTGAGTTTGATAGGGGCCATATAGTGGGACTTCAGGAAGCTGGACTTTCTTTTCGGGCAATTGCAGTTAGAGTGCAAAGAAGTGTAGACACTGTGGTTAGGTGTTGTCAGGCATGGCTTCGAGAAGGCCGTACGCAAAGAGCAAGGGGCACCGGACGCCGCCGTAGAACAACAGACCGTGAAGATCGCCGGCTAAGATTATTGGCCTTAAGGGACCGTTTCTCCACTACCAGGTCCACTACAAATGAATGGTTTGCAGAACACGGAAGACCTATTGGCATGCGAAGTGTTTACCGACGAATGAGAAGCTTTGGCTTGTTTTCATACCGGCCACACTGGGTCCTCCCTTTAACTCGAGAACACCGACGTAATCACCTTGAGTGGTGCAGACAACGGTCACTCTGGGATCAGGAATGGAACAGTATTGTCTTTAGTGACGAGTCTCGATTTTGTTTAGGCATGCACGATGGTCGTGCCAGGGTTAGAAGGCGACGTGGTGAAAGGAGGAATCCACAGTTTTTTGTTGAAAGACATGTTCATCACACTGTTGGAGTTATGGTCTGGGGTGCTATAGCTTATGGTTCCAGGTCACCTTTAATCTTCATCAGAGGTAACATGAACGCGCAGCGTTATATCCACAAAGTTCTATAACCCCATCTTTTACCCTATCTTGACACCCTGGCAGATCCAACTTTCCAACAAGATAATGCCCGACCACATGTTGCAAGAGTCACAATAGACTTCTTTCAACATAATGATGTCACATTGTTACTATGGCCACCAAGATCTCCCGACTTATCCCCAATTGAGCACGTGTGGGATATGATGGGTAGGAGATTGCTCAATTTGCAATGTCCTCCTCAGACTCTAGAAGCACTTCGAGAGGAGTTGGTGGTTGCCTGGAATGAGATACCACAGGAGGACATTGACCACCCGATCAGAAGCATGCCTAGGCGCGTTGGAGAATGCGTAGCACATCAGGGTGCATCCACACATTATTAAAGGTCAAAGGGATTTAAAGCAGTGCAATCATTTTGAAATTTTTATCATTTACTTATTATGCTTCATTAAGTACTTATACAAAATTTTATTAAAATAAAACCATTTAAACTGGGTGTTCGGATTTATATGTCACTTAGTATATTTACTTGTATAATAACATTAAATAAGTTACTTCAATTTCTATAAAAGCATACAACCCATCTGATTTAACAAAAAATCAAAAAACTCTTAAATCCACATTTTTTAAATATAAAATCATGGAGAATGTACATGTAATAATCTATTTTCCCACGCTTTGATTCCGGTGTTTGAATACTGTGACTAATTACGAAGTTTGGTGTGGATTATCCTAAATGAGGAAAAAACTCAATACACTCAAGCCCAGCAGATAAAGCAGCTGCTGTATGAAGCTGCTGAACTAGGTCTACTGTAACTTTATTTAAGTTATCTTTCAAGGACTTCCACCAAACAAGTGTTGTGAGGCTTTTTAAATTGTCTTGAAATAAATAATCCTTAAATGATGATGTTTTTGCCTGATAACTTAAAATAAAAGGCATCGTTTCAGGATAATAATGAGAGGCATACTCAATACCTTCTTCACGTTGCTGTAGATTTAATTTAAGTCCTTGGAATCGATGATCTAGCATATTTTCCAGATAGTGTGTTGGAGACATAGCCATATGAAACCTTTTTACAAAATGATTTTTATCTGAATCAGTGCAATTTTCATTTTGTTTAAAAAAGGCAAATAGGTCTATCCAAATTTCTTTGCATTTGCTAATTGTACACTCATCTCGTTGAATCTTATCTAGGGCAATTGCTTTACTAAATAGTCCTGGGCATTTATTTTTAAATTTGAATTATTTTTTTCCGAGATATGAATATCAATAGCAGCTCGGTTTTCTAAACAAATTTTTGATAATATGTGCCAGTACTCTAGACAAGATTCAATAGAGTCAGCTAAAGTGCTCCATCTAACATCACGAGAGCTTTTCCGACAGATATTTTATATTTGCCTGCTGCGAAATGTACATTTCTAAAGTACTTTATTATTTTCTTAATGCGTTCCTTTAATGTGGGTACCTGAATATCTTGTGCAAATAAATTTAAAATGTGTGCAGATCACCCATAGGTAAGTATATCAGCTAGACCTGCTCCATCGCATTTTGCTAGTTCTGCACGCATCTTAGTCATATTTGCAGCATTATTTGTCACAACACTTCTGACAGTACAATTATAATCTGTGTAACAACGCCTTATAGACTCCACTAATAAATTCAACCACTATTCAGAAATATGACCTTGCCTTGAGTGTCAACAGTGTCAATTAGATATGCTTTACCTTCTTGAATTTCATTTACGGATTCACTATTGAATCATTTCTAATATTGTTCCAACCATCAACAGACATGCATACTGATTTATTTCCCAATTATTTTTTATTTCTGCTTGTAAAGTTGTGTTTACGTTACTAGGAAGTTCATTTCCTATTTGCTGACGATTAGGTGGCTGATATCCTGGAAATTTAATGCGATTGATTAAAAGAAATTTGCTTGTACAAAACAAAAAGTATATACCGAGCCTTAATAGGGACCTGTTTTATTCTTAATTCTTATACATATATATTTAACATATTTAAACAAAATTTAATAGCAATTAGGTAATTCTTACCTTTTTCACAATTCTCCAAGCTACTTTGAGGGAATAGGTACGGTAGAAACATCATCATTGTCGGTATCAGAACTATCTGATATATGAATATTTTGTTTTTCTGACATACTTGTTTAAGATGTTTACAATTTTTAATATGTTTGCGCATTCTAGCTACCGGTGACACTATATCCATATTGCAGGTTAAACATTTTGCTCGTTTATTTATTTTCGAGACAGCTTTGGCATCAGTCTCCTTAAAATATTTCCACACGGGATCCTTTCTCCTCACTGGCATTGCCTTTACTTTTTTGCCGATCTTTAATGCACAAAAAACAAAGCACACCACCACGCTACGATTTCGCACATTTGACAGCTGGAGATCGCAAATCGCAACCCGAAAAATCACCCAAAGACAAACGGTACTTCCCCGACGCCCGAACGGTAGTTTCCCGACATCCGGTTTGAAATTAGAGATGTTCTCTTATAGAGCTGGATCAAAAATAGTAATAACACTTTCAAGGAATTTCATTAACGTTGCTAGATTATAAAGGCAATAGTTTTTTAATTCTATTTACAGTTTCAAACATGTTTTTTTTTCAGCTAAATTTGAATGTTTTAATAAAAAAGCAGTTTTAAACAAAAGCAACATGATTTTTGTTTTTTTGAAACATGTTTTTTTTAAACCCTGGTATTCAAAAAATGCTGATTTGTAATACGTTTTATAAATCAACTGCAATTGTGATCCCGCAGATGTGGTATAGTTGGAATTTGGTCCAAGTCAGTAATTCTGAACATATTGTTATACAGTAGCAGAACGTTTTTGAACTTTCCCTTTCAATGTACGTATCACAAGATGCAATTTGTTTGTCAAATGGCCGCCTAGGAAGGATTTTTGTAAAATTCGATATGGTGTAAATTCCAAGTTCCATCTCACTTTTAGCACTGTCCTGAACACTTCATTCACAAGAGTGTCAGACTGGGGATGCTCAAGTAAAAGTCTGTCATTCAGTAGGAGGTTAAGTGTAGTTGAACTACATGACTACGAAATCAAACAACTGATTATCGAGAGTTGATTTTCCGTTTATTCACCTTTAAGATAAATAAAATACTTTTGGATAGAAAAGACTGGGTTACTCTGTCAGCCAAATAAGTAACTATCAATAATAACAATTTAATGCTTGCAAAACCGAGTACTGTACCTTGACGATCAAAAAGCGTCCTAGGGCTCATCCGCTTCCGATGGATGGCCGACTTCTGCCAGAGCCGTTCATTTCGGCTGGTCGTAGTCCAGATCACCGAGGACTCGGTCTGGTACGAACACATCTCGTCAATAGCGGCAGCTGCTGGGAAAAAGCCAGGCTATTTGTTTAGGGCTAAGCAGTGCTTTTCTCCGCATGACCTTCTGACTCTATACAAGACCCAGATAAGGCCTAGCCTCGAGTATAGCTCACGCGTTTGGGGTTCTACCGCCTCGAATATATTATTAATGCTCGATGCTGTCCAGAGAAGGGCTGTCCGACTGATCGATTACTCTTCTCTAATAGACAGTCTTGGAACCATTTCACACCGGCGGGCCGTCGGCGATCTAGCTCTCTTCTACCGCTACACCAACGGGCTTTGGTCCTCAGAGCTCCCCTTCATGATGCCGCCGCGGTCTGCCTGCCAGACAGACCCGCCAGGCTTTGGCCTCCCATTCAAACCGTGTCGAATTTCGTACAGCCGTAACTGGCCGATACGACCGCTCCTTTGTCCCGAGGCTGTGGAGATTGTAGAACAAACTGCGAGAGGAACTTAAGCAGTTCAAAAATCGGATTAAAAAAATGTCTTTGGGATCTTCATAGCAGCCGTGGTTCCCTAGCATTTGGGCTTGTGCCTGCGCGGCTGCTTCGGTATAAAAAAGAATAAGTTGTATAAGATCAAGAGATTGGGAGTTTCATTATCATAGTATCAATGAAACGTTAAAGGATGCTAAATTGACCGATAATGAAATCATAATTGTGCTACCAAGAATCTAAATTGCCACTTTATGGACGATTGCTGGAACCATGACCAGAGAGAAATTGAGAATTTAATTGCTAAATAACAGAAAACTTACGAGGTCTATTCCCTCGAAACCCAAACAGAGAACTGAGTATCAAACACCTACCAATTTGCCAGGTGGGAGGGCTGGACAGTCGTTAACGTAAAAGTATAAGCAAGCCGATGTCCGAAGAAAGCTCTATCAAAAAGCCTCTTCCGGCTGTTGATGTTTTGAGTATCCTTTGCAGTCGGATATTTTATTACGAGCAACCTTTTTGTGTTTATGTGCTCCTATTCGGCGCTTTCCCCATTTCCAGGATAAAGTTTTGGTTGGAAGGCTGTCAACTTTATGGGCTGAGGTGGTTTGGTCCACTTGTAGATGTCTTGACTTCTATTTCATTATGTAAATCGCCCAATCATGTTCTTATAAAATGCACAGGCATGACCATATAATTTCCATTGCACTACAAACCACTGCTACAGTGATCGACGATGAAAGGATTATCAAAGTGTTGCACTAGTAGCGTACAATTGAGACCTTTGTACTAAAATTCGTATATGGACACGTGTTGCGACGCAAGCATATACGAGTATTATGAATGAATGCAGTACTTTACCAGTTCACGTTATCATGGTTAATTCCACGCCACCAATGGGCAGATATTCTGGTATCCTACATTTTCGAAAGCATTGTGCATCCTCACAATACCACCCGCTACCAGTTAAATGCAGACGCCTCAGGCTACCCTTTGAACTCGTCAACACAGTTCAATCAGTATTATCTCAATATGTATGGATTGATCACCGAAACACTATTTTGAACAACAATATTGACTGATTCGATATTGGGATGCCCTCAGGCATGCAGTTTCCTGTGTGAATGACATTCGTCACTCATAGTGTGGGAATAATGCTACATAATTACGGTCCTGAGTTATGTATAGAGGCTTCTCACAATTTGTGATTTTGATCGATCGGCAGCGAATCATTGAGATTCGACATTTACTGTGCACTAGCAGATACAGAGAGAAAGGCGTGAGCGCGATTGAAGGTTTCAATGACTCGTTGTCTTTGGTGTCAATCACGGTTCGTTGGCGCTCTCACTCTAACATCACGTGTTTCTTCCTCTACCTCGCTCGTAAACATTAAATACGGGACATTAATGATTCTATGGAAATAAGACAGCACATAGTTCCATCTATTACCAGAATCGACTACTGCGAAAGTACAAACAGCAACCCCTCTGTTGGAACTGTATCCCAGTTATCGTTGTCAGCTGGGTCATCACTGTGGCCGCTAGATGCCGTCCTGTTGAAACCACGACTCATGCTTCTTGTTAAAGTATTACTTAGCAACGTGTTTTTTCGATTTTTTTCGGAAAAATTAGATGCCTTATGATATTACTTATGAAAATATACAAACCAATTTAACACATAATGTAGGCTTGGTCTCGGTGGACAACGAACTAGAGCTGAAGAACTATTCTCTATCCACAGCACAAAGTGGCGTCTATTACCAGAATCGACTACTTGTGAAAGTTATATATATATATATATATATATATATATATATATATATATAGGTATATAGAGAGAATATGATCATCCGGAGAAATACGTATCGCTCGGGTTACCTATCCTATTTTCTGCTCGAATCCACTTTCCTCCTTTTTGCGGATTTTGCCCATTATTTTCCTACTTGTTATATATATATATATATATATATACAATTAATACACAATTAGTTGTTAATTGGGAAATTGGCAAACTTTTTGGCTTTAGTTAACTCTTTTGACGATACTATCAAGCTTTCGGCAATTCTCTATGGAGCCTTCATCAGGATCTGAAAACACAATTATGATGCTAGCAACCAATCCAGAAACGACATAAATTGTCAAACAACTTACTCGTCATAGAGGTTGCAGCCAAATGGTGTTTCAAAACGAACGCGGAGATGAGAGAACTAGTTACAAATATAAAACCAATCGGACGGACACATTGAGCTTAGTGGTAACGACGGATAACATCATTATGTGTTAACACTATAAATCAATACACCCAAACATATTAAAA